GTATCATCATGTCAGACTCACTCTGGGTACGACCCCATCCGCTGATGTAACAAGCATTGTTATTGGGCAGGACCTGACCAGAGGGAGGCAGGGCACCAAGCTGGACGAAGTTGTTGAGAGTAGCAACATTGGTCAGACGCAGGAGAGCAATGTCCCACCTGAGGGTAACACCAACATAAAGTAATACATCTTTCATGCCTCCAGAGCAACTAGGGGTCAAGTGTATTGTTGAGGGACACATCAGTGGATGTGTCACAGTGGGGAGTTGAACCTGGGTCTCCCCACACAAAAGGTATGTGTCCTATCCCCTGCACCATCACCACCCGTTTCAAATCACACACAATGTTTACAACATTTTAAAACAGATATAAGCAAATGTTCTTATTAAATGAGATGGGACCACAGAGGGTTTGTCAGTTTAGCTTAAGAAAAAGTATTTAAGCAATACATTGATTATCAAAATAGTTGCAATAAATGAATTGCTTCAGCTGTAGATGCATGGTTGGGTGTGTATTTATTGATAAAATATTTAAATAAACATACAAAATCACATACCCATATAATGTGACTTTTTAGGACATTTTTCATTACTTTTTCATGTTAAAAATATTTATAATAAATATGTACAATATGTGATGTACATGTACCGGCACATGTTTTTGTATGTAGAAGTGGGTTAAAACACGAGCAGTAGCCACTAACCCTCCCGCAACATTGTTGGAGTTCCAGTTGGGGTGGATGTAAACACGGCTCACGCTCATGTACTGCTCTGTGCCCTCGTGGGAGTTGATGTTGTGATCTCCAAGAACAACACGCCAAGTCTGGGATCTGTAGATGTACAAACATGAACATTTCTGCCACTTATACTCAATATTTCACATTGAAAATTTATTTTTTCAAACCAAAAATCCTGCTACTTCATCCATGTCTCTATTAGTTTTAGGTTCAGCAGCTATTATGTGATTAATGAAACACCGACCTGTCCACACAGTGAGCAGCAGTCATGACCCATCCTGTCCTGATCAGGGTTCCTCCACAGGTGTGGTAGTAGCTGGTACCAGATTTGTATTGAAGAGAGATCTAATGGAATGATAACAGAGAGCATTACAACCACAAGAAATCAAAACATTCACATTTTCATATTAACATCCGGCACAGTACTGGTAGAAAGTAACTAAATACAGTACTGTATTTAGACATGATTTTAATTATGCTACCCTATACTTCCATGCTAGCACATGACGGAGGGAAATACTGTGCTTTGTTCTCCATTACATTTATCCTGTTATGTGGCTGATTTGACATGTTGATGAGTTGTGCAAAGCTATCAATCAAGGCCCATATGGGGTTGCCAGGGAGGCTACTAACAAGCCGTGGTGGAAATAACAAATACATTCAGGCCCACTCACATTACTGTAACAAATTTTATTTTATTTTTAAAATTTTAAAATTTATTTATTTTTTATTGTAACAAGTTTTTTTGTGTAGCCTTCTTGTACTTTTTTGAGTATATTTAATTTTGCTTTTACTTGAGTATTTATTATTTCAAGTGGGCCCATTGTACTTTGCTACAGTTCCAGTTACCCCCATCAATGAGCAAAAGCAAAAATCTCATGAAAATGGCATGATAAAGCGGCAGCCAATTCATTTTTCACAGGTTTAATGCACCCATTAATCACACTTGACTCTATTTAAAAAACATAGGCTGTATAAAACAAACATAAAACAAATCGAACATACCCGCTTCGTTGCGTTACCAACAGGTGCACGCTGGCTAACATGCTAAATGCTAACATGCTCATGGTGGAGCCTCCAGTGTGACTTCTGTGTTCATTTAGAATCTTTTACCTTCTCTGAGGTGTTGAGTTTTTGTTGTTTATCTTTGTGTTGTCTGCCTTGGTGGCGTTTTATTCTACTGCTAATTCTATTAGAAGTTTTAAAAAGTTTTAAAAACAGTTTTAAAAAAATTAGGTTAATCTAGGTTATTTGATTTCTGTAGCATAATAGCGCACTGGTTGTTGCACCCTCCATGGTGTCCAATGGTTGTTCCTTTTTTTTGAGTTTTGTTGTGTTTTCTGGTTAGTTATAGTTAGGCTACATGGAGGAAGGTGGATGTACATTTAAAATTAGTTTATTATAGTTTATTTTGTTGATAATACTTTTTACTTTAGTGCTTTAACTCAAGTACGATTTTCAAATCAGAACTGTAAATCATAACAGACTATTTTCACACTCTGTCACCACTGTTGTAGAGTGAAGCATAGTATATAGTACCTGCCAGGGCCAGGAGTTGGCTCTGGCCACCTCACCTCCCACAACTCTCTCCTGAGCAATGTCATCCTCTAGGTACCTGGGCTGGGGCTCCAGCTCAGCCAGCACTGAGCAAAGCACAGACACATACAAGCATTGTAGTCAGATATCAAGTATTCAAGTGTGTTAGGAGTTTCTGTGTCTGCAGAATGTCAAAGGAGAGGAAGTATCAGGTAGTTCTTACCGAGGGCTGCGAGAGAGGTCAATACAAGAAATCTAAGCATGTCTGCAGTCTCCTGAAACTTTCTGCACTGGAGACTTCTGCCCACTACTCTTTTATACCCTCACGGCCTCTTCTACTGATAGTGTGTGTGTGTGTGTGTGTGTGTGTGTGTGTGTGTGTGTGTGTGTGTGTGTGTGTGTGTGTGTGTGTGTGTGTGTGTGTGTGTGTGCGTGGGTTTGTGTGTGTAATTTGTTCAGTACCAGCGCACCACTCCACCTGTGTCTGTCTCACAGTTATCACCACAGTGGGGACGAGGGGGGGGGGGTTGATAGATGGAATAGCTGACTCAGCCAGCGAATGCTTTTTTTCCACGTGTATTGGCCTAGATTTCTTACCGTTTTTCACTACTAAACCAAACCCTGAAGCACACACATAACACAAGTTCACCTCTGCAGTTAAAACCCCTCCTCAGATGCATTTCATATTACTAGTGTGTAGCCAACTGGAGGCAATCAACTACTAGCATAGGTCATGTGAAAAAACAATTTTCATACATAATGATGTAGTACTCCAAGGAAGATCATCCCCACAGTGTGATTAAGCATTTGGCCTGCATAGACCATACAGTATGTCACTTCAATTGAGCAGAATGTGCATTTTCACACTAGCTGGAGTGGCTGAAAACATAAACCACCTTTAGTGGTTTAGTGGTAGTAGACAAGTGTAAGTACATTAGGGAATTTAGCATCATCATCAAGATTGATCAAGATGTAACCAATGCTTATATTGATCTTCAAAGATGGATACATGTATGGCTGCTGTCACTTTGACATGGATTTTAGGTTTAATTTCATGAACTGTGATTTTGTAAAATGTTTGACTTGAATATCAACAGCGACCAACTCATGCTGCATATTTGTGTTTATACCCAAGAAACAGCTGACTATGTTTTTTAGATGCTAAACCTTTTACTGTAATGTGTAGAATATGATGTGCTTAATGAGCGAAACAGGATGTGGAGCACGTATAGTACAGTATCCACATCATGTTTTGAAAGGGCCACAGACTCCTCAGCCATGAAAAATGGGTGTCTCATCAAGCACAAAAATTCACATTCTGTTCAAAGCTGCTTTAAAAGTCAACAACATGCTGTTCCAGCTGGTTGACAGCCGAGCTCCAGCTATAGATGGTAGAAGGGAACTTGTAGAGACAGAGGCACTGTAATGAGATTATGATTATGTTGCAAATTGCAAGTTGTTGATTAATATAGATTAAGATCAGTATTTAAAGATGACAGTAACAACCCTGAGGCTACAGAACAGATCTTTTTTCTTTAAGCCTTTGATAAGTATTCATGAGGCCCACTGGAGGTTATAACTGTGTGTTCAATGTTGATAGTGTACAGCAGAAAGGGCTGCTTCAGCACACGACTTGGTTTGAGGGAGATGAACAAAATGTCAAACTATTGCTTTAAATTAAAGTTCTGCAAACCAATTGTATGTTAACTCGTTGTTACACAACAATTCAGAAACTCATTGCATAGTTTCTTTGGTTCAATTTAACTGCAAATGTAACAGGGTGATAAACAGAGAACTGCCCATTTAGTATGTGTGGCACATTGTAGTGTGAGAGTTTAAACTTTAAAAAGTCCTGCTAGAAACATCCGGTACAACAAACCTATAGTAATAAAAGAATAGCTGGGAGGGTGTAACGTATACATCCACATAACTAATGGCTAGTACAACCTCCCCATAGGCCCTTCTTTAAACATATTTATTGAAAATACTCCATGTTTCAAGGTCAAAATGGCACATTCAATAAAATAAGTGCTTGGCTCATGGAAAACCTGTTAAAAGGCTATCAGACATGAGTGCAATGAGTTTCTTCAGTTACAACAATCAGTGTATCTAGTTCCATTCTGATTACAGCATAGCCCACTTTAGGCAGACTTAACATGCCTCTACCCTCAGTGCCTCAGTGCTCACTGCAGCCATTTCCTTCTAAAATGTCATAAAACCACCAGAGGCAGCAGAAAGGGTAACACAAACCTTCTGTTTATTATTATTAACACCACTGAGTCTAATTTTGTCTATCCAACTTCTGGTGGAAGCAAAAAGAGAACATAAAGTTTAATTAATAAAAAAAAAAACAGAATAAAGAAGACAAAGGACTGCAAAATGAAGTCAGCATTTATTCAGGTCTGCTGGCTGTCAGGACTCAGAATCAGATCAAATTTGCATTGCATATCCTCATATCCCTGGTATGGCCCCCACTGTCTGCTTGTCTGTGTATTTGTCCCATTTCTGTCAGATTTACTTGCTGTGTGCTAACGATGCTCACATGCTGCATTGAACAGGAAAATGGCAAATGTAAAGTTTTAGGAGGTCTGATAAGAAAATGGTTTGATAATTGGTGGTTTGATCAGAATTTCTTTTCATCAGTGTCATAATGTTAAATGAAATTAAAAGCAGTCAACACTAAGACGTGCAGGACATCAGGCAGTTACAAAATAGTTTAATAACACAAACACAATTGATTCTGAAGTTTATTTGTAGAACATTTAACCAGCACAGTTAGCTGCAGATGGAAAACATGTTCAATTTGGAGTAATTTCTGTAGCAAAGAAATCCATTTCAAGAATTGTTCATGACCTGGAAGAAGAAAATTACATATATTAAATATATCATCAACTAATTGACTTGGTGAACTACTGTATTTTAAAAGAACTTGATGATTAAAGTAATTCTGTTCTTTATAATATCTGTTTTTTTGTTGCTCTCTGACCGAGTTCATCCATGTGATGTAGGCAGAGACGCGAGTGAAGACAGTGGGCTTCTGGGGCGTGTTGCATCCCATACCAGACACAAAGCTGGCTATCCCGTGGACATACCAGCTGTTGTTAACTTTGCAGCTAAGAGGGCCACCAAAGTCACCCTAGGACGAAACAAAGAACTGTTAGTTACAGACACATAGCCATAAATATAGCATATCTTACTTCTGTTATTTACAAACTTTGGGGAATTGATGGCTGATATTCTGGGTGGATGTGGGATACTCTTTTATTTTGCAGCCTCACTTTGTGACTCAAACTGATAATGATGGGAATGGGGTGTACTTTTACAATGGTAAAAATGGGCTTCCACAAAACTGTAGAGGGGTATGCTAATAACCACTTATTCCACTTTGATCTGTTTTTATAGATGGTTTTTCAAAATTAGTTTAAATGAATTAACTTCTTGTGATACTTGAATTCATAAAAATGTGTTCAACTCACAAATTTCTGGAAAATTTATTTAAAAAGCTATAATTACAACTACACCACTGCACATAAAACTTTATACAATACTTTATTTCATGAGAATAATAATGTAACAGTAGAGCAACAAATATCTGAATGAGTTTTAGTAATGTTTTAACAGCTGTATTATCAGGTGTTATGCTGGTATAAAGTATGATGATGTGATGTGTTTTTCATTCGTCCACAGTAGATCATGATAAACAACAGAAGGTGACTGTGTCTACTTTTATTTAGCAGGTATAATCAAGTGTGCCTGGTTTGATTGCTTTTTAGAAATGTATTTTTCACTCTATGTGTAGTATTTTCATATTCTTTACATCAGCAGACTCACGTTGCATCCGGACTGGGCGCCTCCTCCAGCACAGATCATGTTGGTCTTGACGGTGCTACCCCACCAGCCGGAGCTGGTGCAGGTCTGGTGGTCAACAATGGGAAGGTAGGCCTGCCTCATTCTGGTGGGCATACTTCCACCAGCTGAAGAGAGAGACAAACATGTACAGTGATACTCAGGTGACTGCATACTTACAGTCAAAATTATGATTTTGAGGAGTTGCATCTGACTCACTGGAGGTGCGCCCATATCCAGTGATGTAGCAGGGGTGGTTGTGGGGCAGGATCTCGCCAATAGGAGGCAGAGAAGCCCGCCCCACATAAGAGTTCAGTGAGGCATCAGAAGACAGCCGCAACAGCGCGATGTCATTACTAAAGGTCAAAGAATGAGACTGTTTGAAAGTCTCCCACTTTAAGTATATCATTCAACTATTTGAATGAGCATAATATATTAGAGTGACTTTTTAATAATGGTGCAAATATAAGACATCATTCAAAGGCAATTAACCTTATCATAGCCATTAAAACTCTTTTAACAATATTAACTCTAATTTAAAAGACTGTAAAAGTAAGGCTAAACTTCTGTAAAGCTAAGATGTTAAAGAAAATACGAACTGTTTACCCAAAATGTTTACTGTGTGTGGTATATGAAAACTAGACAGATGTTAGAGTGCAATAACAGATAGACCCACCCAGAGGAGATGCTATTACTGTTCCATTCGGGATGGATATGAACACTAGTGACACTCCTGTATTGCTCTGATCCATAGCTTTGGTGCAGAACAAGATCACCGAGGACCACACGCAAAGAGCTGAAACTGTTAGTTTGTTTGTTTCCACAATAAAACACAGAGAGGTAAGATACAAAGAAATGAAAGGAAACAGAAAACACATATTTGTGCAAGATGTGTGTAATAAGACAAAACCTGAATCTCAAAAAAAAAAAAAAACATACAGCCCATAGTATGTATGGACATTTAACAGTTACTATGCAGTTTATTAGATTAGAATAATTGCACCTGTTACCTGAACACACAGTGAGCAGCAGTCATGACCCATCCTGCCCTGATCAGTGTTCCTCCACAGAAATGGTGATAGGAGCCATCAGAGAGGTACTGGAGAGAGACCTAGAGCAGGATTCACCACATGTTCTTATCCAGAAAAAGTCTTTTTTTTCTATAAAGGTTAACAAGAAAAGGAGGAAAGTTCTCAAATAAAGGATTTTTCCATTGTCCTCATACTTAGAATGAAGAAGCTGATACGTTTAGAATTATACATGTATATAAAAAAGATGAGTTACTGTAGCTTATCTTAGCATAAAGACAGCCAGGGTGTTTCAAACTCACAATAACAAAATCCACTTAGCAGCCAAATATAGCAGATTTTGTTACCTTCAGACGGAGTTACCTATTTCCCCCATTTTTAGTCTTTCTGCTAAGCTTAACTAACTGGATGCTGTCTGTTGCTTCTTGTTTAATGAATAAACTTCTCTTCCAACTCACAGCAAGAAAGGGTATTTCCCAAAATGCCAAACTTTTCTTTTTAAGAATTTTGTAGCATCGCACTCCTGGAGATAACACAAGACAGACTGCAACAGATATTACTGTACATGGAGAGTTGCCCAAGTTTACCCATTTTTGGTTACATCTATAGTACTACCTGTACTGCATGACAAAGACAGGAACTTGCACTTACACAGCTTTCTTTTACATGTTCTGTCTGGCTATGTGATACTGCACCTGCCAAGGCCAGGAGGTGTGATAAGGCACCGCTTCACCTCCCACAATTCTTCCTGCAGTGCTGCCCTTTGCGTTACTGAACTGAAGCTTCAACTCAGCCAGCACTGAGGCACAGAGGAAACTCATCAAAACACCATTTAAACATGTTTCCCATAATTATATCTGTTTTCCAAGTTTTTAAGCAAGAAAAAAAACCTTTCTTAACAGCAGTAGATTGTACACAGTACAGCCTTGATATTTGTTACCTGTGGCTGTGAGAGTGGTGAACAGCAGAAACACGAGCATGTCTGCAGCATCTAAACATTTCTAAACGTCTCAATCTTTTATACCCTGAGCTGACCTTCATTTGATGTGGACACTATGCTTTGCAGAAAGCCACCTGTTGTCCATCTCACACTTTATCAGTTTGTGATAGCGTGTGACGGCGTGTTGCCACATCACACTGGATTTACTGAAACATAAAACATGTTTTCAAGAATCTCAATCAGTTTTGAAGGGCTGAACATTTATTTTCATGTCCACACTTTAATTTAAATCCATGAAATGGTACTATAGTACTTTAGTACTTTAGTTAGGGGTATTTTATTCATTCGGGAGGATAGTTTGATCTCTGAAGCAAAAGAAATGTAACCTTCATAATGAGATACATAAGTGTGGTTGCATAAACGTTCTGATGAGAAATGAGTCATCACTCAAAGTTTGATTAATTTTATTTTCTGTATAATGAGACCAGACAAGTGAGGAAGGACAGTACATGAAAAGATGGTCAACTGTGGTCTCCGTCTTTGTGTGCTGCAACACAGATGAGTCTTCTGTTTACATCATGGTCTGGAAAAGAGAAGAAGGAAATAATGATTACCCATCATATGCAACTTAAATTCCATAAAACCCATACCTAAATTTTCCTATACTGATATATTCTTTTGGATACGATAGACATACAAATCCCTAATACTGACCGAGTCAATCCATTCGATGTAGGCAGAGACACGGGTGAAGACAGTGGGCTTCTTGGGAGCGTTACATCCCATACCGGACACAAAGCTGGCAATTCCATGGACGTAGTATTTTCCGTCAACAAGGCAGTTCAGAGGGCCACCAGAGTCACCCTGAGAGGGACGAGATTACAGAGAGCACCTTCAGTATTGTGGACAATAATTCAGTGGTATATATAGTTAATTCATTGGAGGGTTTCATTTTGCAGGATTACTTTCTCTTCTTTGTGTTTTTTAATGTTCTCTCATCTATGTATCTTAATTAAAATCGAAAAAACTTTTCTAGGTACAGGTCAAATAAGTCCTCTATAATAAGACTTGATGATAATATAGTGTTAGTTACTGAGAGTGCAACTCTTTTCCGTGTAGGAGGAGACTCACATTGCATCCAGCCTCAGCACGACCACCACCACACACCATGGTGGTCTTGACAGTGCTGCCCCACCAGGCACTGCTGGAGCAGGTCTTGTAGTCGACAACAGGGAGGTAGGCCTGCTTCAGCTGGGCGGACAGGCTGCCACCAGCTGGAAAAAGTGAAATTGGAAAGGTAAGATACATTGAGCTTTAGAGAATAAATCTGAGTACAGCATTGAAACTGACGGGTGCTCAGAGGGATCATGCAATCAACTCACTGGAAGTGCGTCCCCATCCGGTGATGTAGCAGAGGTTGTTATTGGGCAGAATCTGGCCGGAGGGAGGCAGAGAGCCCAGCTGGACATAGGAGTTCAGGGTGGCCTCAGAGGACAAACGCAGCAGGGCAATATCGTACCTGAGGTGGAGATCCATGGATCAAACAGGAGTAACCAAATATCACTTTGTAGAGATACTAACCCCTGGGAATGACATTTTGTCTATGGGTTAGACCTGCACTTCCCTAAGGTGACATTCTTACCCTGTATCAGTTTAGAACAGATATGGTATCCAGAGATATTTGAGAAATTAGGTGAATGAATTCCCTTCAAAACATTATAACTTACTTCTATAAGGATAATTTTAAAACAACCAACAAAAACACGTACGGTGAAGATCCTTAACATGATAAATGTAAGAAAAAATGCAATCCTCACCCAGCAGACACTCTTCTGGAGTCCCATTTGGGATGGATGTAAACATGGCTGACGTCCATGATCTGCTCTCTGCCATTGTTGCTGTTGAGGTCATGTTCACCAAGAATGACACGCCATGTCCTATTGCTGCAATTTAATAATAATAATAATAAATAAGTCTGTATAGCCTTATGAATTCGTATTACAGTAAACTGATGGAAAAGAAATAAAGACCACAATTCACCATGAAATGACTCCTGGTTTTGTTTTTTGTTTTTTATTCCTTTGTTTGGAGACTAATCAAATAAACAAATCCCCTGGTGATGTGACAGTTATAAATGAGGCTGTGAGAAGTTGCCTCATGCTGGTGACATTTAGAAATACTGAAATAAATCATACCTCTGGGTTGTGATAAGAGTGGGCTATGGCTATTCAAGTCAAACTAATTTCACAATGGATCATGAATACACCCAAAACCCATACAGCCAAAGAGCACTGAGTCTATGCTCTAGTTAATCATTATGTCACCTGTCCACACAGTGAGCAGCTGTCATAACCCAGCCTCTCTCAATCAGGGTTCCCCCACATGTGTGGTAGAAGCTGCTGCCAGATTTGTACTGAAGAGAGATCTAAGGGGGAAGAAAAAAGGCCAGAGTTTTGTATGTGTGAAAACATTATTAAGTGTAATTAATTAAACTGATGTCAGAGCTTAAACATAATTTAGTTTCCTGCTGAATCAATGCATTTAATTTGCAATTTTATGTGGCTGTAGATTACCTGCCAGGGCCAGGAGTTGGGTTTAGCCACCTCACCTCCCACAACCCTTTGAAAGCTGTCCTCCAGGTACCTGGGCTGGGGCTCCAGCTCAGCCAGCACTGGTTAAAAACATGAAAAACAGGAGGCACAATGTATACATGGTTCCCCAGATGCCTCATAATAGTATTTGCTTTCCACATACAAACAGAGGAAACGAGAAACAAGCGCAGCGAGAGTGTGACTGGTAGAGCAGATTATCTGGAGCTCCTGTGTGTTGACTAAACTAAAAATGAGTGACTGACTGATAGAGCAAGAGAGTGAAGGAGACAGAAAGAGATCAATAATGAATAAAGCGCAGTGTGTGCTGTCATTTTCTTACCCACGGCTGCAAGACTTGTCAACACCAGAAACCTGAGCATGTCTGCAGTGCGTCACAACGTTTCTACAAGCAATGAATGCTTCTCCCCTTCTTTTATACCTCAACTTGACCTTTGCTGGAGCAGAAAAGTGTGACTGTTCTTTCCCCTGTGACAAAAGCCAAGTATGCACCTGTGGCCTGTCTCACACATTGTTATCACAGTCAGTTACCACATATTTCCTGCTATGACCAGTAGAAAGCGGTCTACAATGAAGAATGACATGTAGACTGACAAGTATATTACTGGATGACATGAGTCACAGTGATTCAAAGACTTAGAAGGATATTTATGTATTTATTGTGTTGATAAAGTCCACCACATGTATTTTGGGCAAATATTTATGGGAAAAAAGTCAGAAATTTGACCTGCAGGGGAGAAGTGTAATGATGACTGGTGACCTTATGGCTGAGTAATCTAATATGAACAAACATCACAATTTTGTTGCTGAACATATGAATTGTTTGAATGGGTTTCAGTGTACTTCATGCATATACAAAAATATCATTTTTGGTTTTACTCTCCAATATGAAACCTTAAAATGAATTGTCTGATGTAATATAAAGCAAGTTCTTGTGAATATTTACATCACAAAATAATCACATGTCCATTTGAACCAGCTTGAATTATGAAGTAAGCACTGGAAAACATGTTTCTGTGCTGTCTCTTGACCCAAGTGGTTCTTTGAGAGGTAATAAAGAAAAAGAAGGCAAAGGCACATGATAATTAACAAGCAATGTGAGATAGCATACAACAAAATGTATTATACTTCTATAAAAAGATTCTCCTTTGTTGTTAAATGACACATTCTGTTTTATGGCATCATTCAGTGACTTCAGCTGAGTAACTGTAGAGTATATGTTTTTTGTCTGTTACTAATGCTTTTTTTTCAAGCACTTAAGAAAGATTGGAGATGTTGAAATTCTACTCTAAATAAAACTCAAATAAAAACAAAACAAAAAATCTAAATCTAACTATGATGGTTGATCAAATTATGGAAACTAAAATATGAACATATTCTTTGGTATTCCCAAAACCAAATATTCTGTTTGATTTTTAAAGTCAGAAATATAAAGAAAATACCAAAGTTAATTATATTCAAGCAACGGGTAAATAAAGAATGGAGCTTAGGAATTAAGTTTCAGCATGGAATAAATTGGCTCTGGTTACATTCAGTTCCTGCACATTCACTGCACGACTGCTACTTGCATTTTCTTCAAATGACTACTTATTTCTTAATGTAAAAATAAAAAAGGTAGAATGTTACAGCAGCTGTTTATGCAACTGGAAAATTCATTCTTAAAGTGTTTAAAGTATTTATTCTTAAAGTAATTAAACTCTAAGATGTTTGCAGTGATTTTCATTTATTCAGGTCAAGAGGAGAGACGTCAAATTATCAATCATTTTGACTGTACATACAGCCCAACACTAGATGGGGCTAAAGACTAAAACATACACACACAATCTCGACTCAGCCATGTAAGAACACACACCTTAAAAAAGGCATTTCATCTGTATTTTACTGGAGGCAGACAGCTGACATGTAGTCTTGGAATTTCTGTTTCAACACCCAAATCTTCATACAAGTCAATTTTAAATACAGATTTACTGAGATTTTTAAAAAAGCCGAAAAAAAACATTTGAATACAAAGTCAAAATCTTGAAAGATTTAAATCCGGTGTGAGAACTGAGTCGAAGAGGATTTCTCTCTACTTTGCTCTGACCTCTTTGATATTGAACAGTTTTATCGTAGATGGAATACGCGATGATTTATGCACTGCAAGTCTCTAACTAAAATATGTATATATTAAGGTTTTTTAAAAGCCATTTACTATTTCTAAACTGGTCACGCTGATATTTCCAACAATAGGTTTCTGGACAATAGGAAAGCCTCTGATGTGTCTGTCTTTTATAGTCCTTAATTAGACAGAAAGTCATTAAAACTGTGTGCATTTTGGATTATTGCCTTATCCGGGTATTGAAGAGATAGCCACGCTGGCTGGTAATTGAGCTGGTCCCATGACACACAGGGAAAAGGTCCTAATGCTGCTCGACTTTCTGATCAACAGGGGCTCCACACTA